TAAATCAGTCGTTGTCAAGAAGTCAATGAGAGAGTCAGGATTAAAGGAGGGTCCATCAGCAAGAAGGAAAGGTAAAGAGAGAGTAGTAGAGCGGAGACGACGTTGGAGGATTCTGCGTGCTCGTTGATAGAGAGGGCAGTCTAACAGAATGTGGCTAATCGATACTGGAACTTGACACTGCTCACAAAGAGGAACAGGGTGCCTTTCCATGAGATACCCATGAGTAAGACGAGTGTGGCCAATGCGAAGGTGGGAGAGAGTAGTCTCCCAACCTCGCCACTGATGACAAGAAGACGGCCAGTAACCTGTGCTCGGTTTAATTGAATGAAGTTTGTTACCGAGCAGAGTTGACCAACGTTGTTGCCAACGGGTGTGAAGGTGGGTAGCTATTACAGCAAAATAGTCCAGAAATGGAATACCTCTATATGAAATTGGTAGGTCATGTACTGCTGACCACGCAGCAGTGTCTGCCTGTTCATTGCCCTTTACGTTGACATGACCAGGGACCCAACAAAAAACAATATCTTTATGCTTGGTAGAGATACGGCATAGCCAAAGTTGGATACTGAGAACTAGGGGGTGAGGTGTATCAAATTTTCGTATAGCCTGTAGAGCTCTAAGGGAGTCTGAGACAACCACAAATGATGACACAGGCATTGATGCAATACGAATAAGTGCTGCAAGTATGGCATACAATTCAGCAGTAAAAATGCTAGCCGAAGATAGTAATTGCCCTCGCACGACGCTGTCCGGAACACTGCTGCGAATCCGACGCTGTCTGAAGACTTAGAGCCATTTGTGTACACTGCGATGGCATGAGAATGAGAGTGGAAGTGGTCAAGAAAAAGAGAGCGGGAAGCCACCGTAGGTCATTGGGCTTTCGAACAAGGGAGTGAGAAAGAACAGACAAAGACCAGTGTTCACACATTGTTTCACTATAGCGTCCCCCATCCACTCTGCGGATGCTCTACACTCCTCCCCCCCAACTTGAAATTTCTCGAAGGGTTAAATCAGCATCACATTTTAATACACAATTATTATATTATTCAAATTTACATATGCTGAATTTAGGAAAATTCAGCATGTGTATATATAATCAAGTTTCTACTTAAGTTCAATAGTCTAGGTCCATCCATAAAGTTTGCTGGTGAATTTGAACAAACTAATTCACAGCAGTTTTTGAATTTAAATTGAAAGTATATTGAAAACCAACGAATATCTGCCCCTTTGTGCAAGTTTTTGAGGTTGTCTGGACATTTAGAGATGATGGAAGGGAAATAGGATGACTAGGATGGTGTATAAATCTGAAGTAGAGGGAAGAAGTAGGGGTTCTGGGAAAGGTTGGAGAGGTGTGGTCAAGGTTTTGTGTGAGGCACTTGGATATCCAGCTGGCTTGTGTGAATGTGTCAGAGAAGAGTGGAGGCAAGTGATTGTTATGAATTAACATACTGTTAGTGTGAGCAAGGTAACATAAGGGGAGTCAGGGAAACCGGTTAGCTGGCCATGAGTCCTGGTGGTGGGAGTACAGTGCCTGTACCCTGAAGCAGGGGTGGGGATGTGGGTTGGAGGGGCATCTGAACTGTAATGTTGGCGTACCTCTGGCGAGACAGTGATATAATGAATGATGGCTATAGTGCTTTTTTTTTCTTTTCGGGCCACCCTAGCTCGGCGGGAGACGGCCTGGAGTTTACCTGGAGAGAGTTCCGGGGGTCAACGCCCCCGCGGCCCGGTCTGTGACCAGGCCTCCTGGTGGATCAGAGCCTGATCAACCAGGCTGTTGCTGCTGGCTGCACGCAAACCAACGTACGAGGCCTGTATGTTAAAAATAAATAAATAAATAAATAATAATAATACACAAACGCAATGTAAAATTAGATTTTAACTAAATCGTCTTGATATTTTCGGCTGCCGAAGATTAAAATACAGTTGTAAATCAACACCGTAAGTTTCACAGATGTAAGTCAACACCTAAAGACTCAGGAGCTAGAGCATAACGTAATCAATCATTACAATACAGTAGGAATCACTAAATATGGCGGCCGATGACCGTCGAGTTTTGTGTGCTAACACTTTGGCATAATCACCCACATGAATATATAACAGGTACACATATATATATTCACATACATAAACATATGCTAGAGCATACGTAGGTTCATGTATCCATACGCACATGAGGGACAATCAACTTGTTCCTGAACATTTCTTTGTTAATGATTCCCTTTATGTTTTAAGTCTAACTTTCCTTCTGTTTCATAATATAGCTTGTGTATAGTATGTGTCATTTACTTTCTTAATTGTTTTGACAGTAAAAATTAAATTTACCTTTGAGGACAATATTGTTTTATGTGAACCATTTGAAAACTCTGTTCAGAGTGGCCCCGAGGTTTCTTGTCTCTTAGAGTAATGATGTTCCAGCATATTATAGTGTTGCTGGACCTGTGGTCGGTAAATAAAAAAAAAAGCAATTGCAACTTGTATATATACTACCAATTCAGAGTCATGTACCTATATATCTGTTATATCTATGTGACACTGATGGGTTAGTATTATACCCCTTCAAGAATTTTCTATTATTACACATACATTTTTTAAATTGCACCAAAGTGGTTGGGCCACTTACCTTTTATATCCTACCTCACTCCCCCTCCCACCCTTTTCCAATATTTCTATCCTTACCCATCCTTCTTCCTTACCCATCTTACCAAAGACTGGTCATAAGAAGTGAAATGATCGGTACATAGGGTTCTGCCACTGGTGCCCTGCCTGAGGCTAGACTGCTTCGCTGACTTTCTGATTAACGAAGCTATTGCTGCTAGCGATCAGCTGTCCACATAGCTTCAAAGCAAAGAGAGAAGCGCCTTGTAAAATATACATGGAAGATATTCGAAGGCCACGTCCTAAATCTGCACATGTGAGAGGAAGTGCAAAATAGATCCATTGAAAAGCATGGGTACCATATGCACAATAAAATTTTGTGTCAAAATTTGTAGCCCAAGCCTATTTAACCTACTTTTAGATCAGCCAGGCTGTGATGGTTGTGTGGGTCAGCGAGCCACAAACAACAGTAATCTGATTGAAGGAATAAAGGAATGGAACAGACTACCCGTACATGTCAAAGCCAGTCATAGCGTGAACCAGTTCAAGAAGAGTGCCAAAAGGTGTCTGATGAATGTAGCTACAGAAAGGGAGGGGAATGATTTTCTATTTTTTAGCTAACATACGTGTAAATTTTACCTTATTCCTTGTAATGACCCTCGTATTGTAGATAGTCTTAATGACCTTGGTGTAGCAGATAGTCTTTTTAGTATGATAATAAGATGTTATCTTCATTGTAGAATAATAAGAAAATATTATAACCTTTATACTATAATAATAAGGTAAAAGGACTCCAATGGAAATAAGTCACTCTGTCTGACTTTTTTGGGTTATCCTAGGTTCTCTACACATATGCTGCTATGTATGATAATTCTATGTAACTGTATTTGTGTATACCTGAATAAACTTACTTACTTACTTACTTACTTACTTACCCAGCCGAAGGTCGGGCTTCAAGGCCAGAAATACCACTGAAACCGGTCACAGGTAGCGGTCACAACCTAACTAATGTAGCATTATGACATGTAACTAGGTGTACGTGAACGAGAAGCTGAGCTCTGCACATTGGAGACCTTTGATTGTATCTCATGATAATTACTTTTCTACAGTGTTGCAGATGCAGGTCCAAGTGGCCATTCATTCACATTTGTGTTATTACACCATAATCACAGTGCAGATATATTTTTGACAAATTTATAGTTATAGTTTTCTGTCGTCTTGACAGCCTAAAAGTAGGTTTGAAGTTCCCTTGTGAGATAATGAAAGACAAGAGACGAGGAAAGACATGGTAATACAGGATATTGACCTTATTGCCCCCCTCCTGTGGCCGGACTGAGGGGGCGGCGACCCCCCACAACCAGGAGGCAGCACCTCATTCTCATACTACCCTTGGAGTTTAGCCCTTAAATACTTTAGACACAACAGCATGAAAAAAATGAAGCCGATGAGAATGCATTCTCCAGTTTAACAACAACAAATTATCACCATTTGTTTAATAAAATGGGAAAATCGGACTTACGCAACCTATTAATGTGAATCTTTGAGCAAAATACACCGGTACTAAGAGTTTGAAGCCTACCAGAAGAGATATTCTGCAGTTATCTCATCAAAACTAATAATCTCCACTTTTTTAATCTAACATTAATAAATTTTCATCAACGTAGCCTAAATTTAATGGTGACTTGTTTTAAGAAGCATAAGTGCTTAGCTTAGTCTTTGAAGTCATTTAGAAGAGGCATTCTCGAGGTAATTTACGAAAAATATACTAAATTAAAAAAAATAGTACTTAGTTTAATAGCAATCCGAACTGATAGAGAGGCACTCACATCATCCAATAATAACCTAATTTCCCTCTAAGTATGGTACATTAGCGCTAAAAGTTTAAAGTTGATCGGAAGACGTGTTCTCGAGTTATCGTAAAGAAACCATGGAAGAAAAGATGACTTCCAACAACCACGCTAAATATCCTCTTTCAAAGGATACAATTTACAGTAAATCTTTACATTATTTGTGAAGTAAAATAAATACCATCTTGAACTTATTTGTGTTTTGAACGAGGTTTGGTTTGCAACCTATTCAGTATGGCTCTAGTCACAGCATTAGTATTATAAAATGTGAGTCTAGGAGTGTGTTGTGTTGTGTGCCTAATGATGTTAATTAAAAAAAAATGGTTAATATCTCCAAGTGGTATCTTGGCGCGACATTTTTCCGCTCCCCTGGCAACACAAGTGTCATGATACTGTACCAAAATACAAAACTCGTTTCACTGACATTATATTTTTTCCCTTTTGCTTTACTTATACACTTACTAATAATGGTAAAGTAGATGTGAGAGGTAAGGAATGTAGAAAGAGAGGTGGGAGTGATCGTGAGTGTGGCAGCGAGGTGTTCACCTGGACACAGGTAGTATAGGTAAAGCTTCTCAGCAGTGTGTTGACACCACCTGGTGCAAGGTGAAGCTCTATACTGCGCTCCTCTCCTTGTGTAGTGATATGTGTTTGTGTACAGTGGTGTGTAGGTGTTTCATGAGTGTGGAGGAGTGTGTACCTTGATTCAGTGTCCGCACATTGTAAACAGTGAAGGAAAGTACGTCATTTTTTTGAGAGGAAGTGAGGGTCCCGCCAGCCATTGTTGAAGCTGTGATAGTATTACTGTTGTTGTTCCTGGGGATCACGGAGGCGACGCAGCAGCAGTAGCAGTAGCAGTGTTGGTGAGTACTGCGGGAGCACCTCAGGGAGGCTGTGACCTTCCAGTAATAACAGCAGAAGGAAAATTATAAGAGTGCGTGTGGTGCAATCTTGCCCCACTACCCTCACCCTGCCTGCCCCTCCTGCTATTAACTTCCCCCACTCTTGAGGTGAACATCTTAACCCTTCCCCCCCAGTCTACGCCCTCTACCTTCCTACCAGCACCTATCAGTCTTCCCTCCACTCCTTTTCCTCTTATCCACATCATCCTATCACAATCCTCTTTCCTTACATGAGGATCACTGCGGTAGTCCTGTGCTTAACATGTCCTGCTCGAACATTCCCACTAGTGGCACTCTCCACCCTATTATTAAGGCTACTCAAAGTATTCGATTCAATGACCCTACTCCGCCGTTTATTCCGCTCGTCTACAATCATTTTTAAACCTGTGTTCTATATTTTCTTTATGTTCTGTGTTCTTCTATCGTCCTGTCCTCCTCCAGGATAGAGACATACACAGAACACAGTGGGCTATACCATGTACAGGTTCAAAGCTTGGATGTGGCGGGTAATAGGTGAATGTAACTTAATACTTAGTGTGCAACTGAAGCTACACAAGACGTATTTTTAGGGCACATAAGAAACAGGTTGAAGGACATTAATATTATTATAATCAAAGGGAAGCACTAAACCCGTAGGATTATACAGCGCCTGGGGGGGAGGATGTGGAAGGCATTCAGGCTTAATTCGGGGAACTGGAGCAGATCCAATTCCCTAAATCAAGAGCCCCTCACCAACATCAAGGAACCTTCCTGAGGGGAGGTTGAAGGACAAACTTGCAACATAAGACGCCTAACAGGAACAGGAAATTTTACAATAGGCCTCGTCCGACAGGGAACACTACTGGGCGAAGAATTAAATATTTAAATTATTCTGGTGTATGATTGATGATCTCGATGAGGAACAAGATAACGCCAAATATTTCTTTGAAAATGCATTTGTTGCAAAACTAAGGACGAATTATTTGTTCTTATAAATAGACGCTATAGCAGAATAGATATTATACATTTCGCTTGGAGACCAAACTTTTTCAAGTCTTAGCATGCACATAGTAAACTTGGGTATATATAGTTGGGAGAGCAGGTGACTAGAAGTCATCACATGTCAGCTTAGGAGGGCGGTGTGTGCCGAGGAGCATGCGAGTCAGGGGTCCCGCCAACTGGAAACTAACCTGGTTTTGACTGATGGTGTCTGGTATGAATGAGAGTAGATCAAATGCATTTTCGTATGTTCCTGTCATTTTCTTTGATAACTACACTCGACCTGGGCTAGTCCATGTGTAAGGCCGTAATACAATGTAAAACAGGCGTTGTTGATGCAATAATTGTAATTTAAGGTTTTATTCTTGAGTGCCTGTTCCTTCAAGAAATTCAAAAGCGCTCGTACATTAAGCCACAAATGACAGTGTGATCATCATAATCGTAAACTTTAGACAAGAGATGAGATTTCGTCTGAGACTTGAAAGCATCAACATAACTAATTTAAAAGACACTGGAAATCTGTTGGACAATCTAGGTGCTACATAAGAAATGGCTGTTCAGCGAATGATTTCTCTCCAGCACAAGGCTCGGTCTGCAAGGGTCCACGTCATGACATGAGTGAAAACATTCCTGAGCCTAATGTAAAAGTTACAAGCATATCAGTAAGATATTTGGGTTCATTAAACTTGATAACTTTAAGTGTTAATGAGCAGAGTTTAAATGAATTCTTGTCTTTATAGGGAGCCAGTGCAAAAACCAATTCGAAAGGAAACAAACGCATTGATAAGGACCAAGATTATATGTTAATCAAAATATTTTCTTACTACATAGATATTGCAAATATGAAAATTGCAAGATTTAAGAATTTGGTTGATGTGTCCAACAAACGATAATGAAGAATCCAGCTAGACATCCAGATCCCAGTCCCTGGACCCATTACGTACCTCTGTAATCTGTAAATACCTTTGTAACTTGTCATGATTGTGACCAGACCTACCTGGAGTTCATTACCTTTGTAAATTGTGAGTTCATTACCTTTGTAAATTGTGAGTTCATTACCTTTGTAAATTGTGAGTTCATTACCTTTGTAAATTGTGAGTTCATTACCTCTGTAACTTGCTCAGCTATCAAAACTTTGGAGTCCAGTCCCTGGACCAATTATGTACCTCTGTAATCTTTTGACTACCGCCCACAGGATGGGTATGGGGTGCATAATAAACATATTAAACTAACTAAACTCCTTCACTGATCCCACAGGTTGCAAACTGACAGTACCGCTATCAGATGCACCAAAATCTCTAATCTGTATTTCCCTGAGGTTTCCCTAACAGTCAATTTTCTATTTCTCATCCAAGCTAGAATATCCAACAAAAGAGAACTAAAGCAGAGTCCTGCATCTTCCGCATTTAGAACTCGGATGTGGACTTGTGTATCATATTAAAAATAATGATTAACCCCATGTAGTAAACAATACCGGTCCAAGAATAGAGCCCTGAGGAACGCCATAGGGTAAAGGAGACTCCTTATTTACAGAATCATTGACTGATACAGATATGTAATCCTATCTTATAGATACCTATAGATTTCAGAAGCGACCATGTAGTATCCTTAAGGCTACAGCCGAATAGATCTCTTATCAGTAATGCATGATCAGTAGTATAAAATGCAGCAGAGAAGTCCAACAAAATTAGCATCGACTTGCATAATAATAATCTCTGTAGGATGATAAAAGTATTTTAAAACTAGAAATACCCACTATCGATGTGTGAGAAAGTTTTAGTAATGTGAAGGATCTTTTAGCAAGAGATGGTGTGCTAAGTTTCGCCTTTCACTGACCAAACCTACTCCCTCCCATTCCCGAGGACTATATAATCTACGGGTTTAGCGCTTCCAATGAAAAAAAAATGAGTTTTGAAGGATGCTCATGAGACGTGTATAAAAGAGACTAAGTACAATGAAATGTTATTCTTATTAAGGAAACTTTTTCTCTCACCAAAGGCCTAATTAACTTATGAGATTGGTAAAGCCCCAGTTGGATGAAACTTTTTCCTACTAAAGCCCCCAGGTGGGCGAAATATTTCTTTAATAAAGCCGTTGATCAAAACAATTCTCTAATGAAGTCACTGACCGGCAAAACTTTTCCTTAACGAAGCCACTGGTAGGTACAACGTTTCCTTAAAAGTTACATTTCGTTGTAATTACGTCTCTTATACTTTTGTGGGTGTACCTTATTTGTGCGACACCACTGACACATGTATAAAGACAAGGAAACCAGAATTTGTGGTTACTACTATAATTTTTGTGGTTTGTAGGAAAAATATTTAGAGCTCTAGTTAATAGAAATCTGCAGCCAAGGCAGAAGTGCGCATATGTTGCTAATAAAGCATGCGTGGTTTCATATTAAGACGTAGAAGCATAACCTTGAAAGTTTTTTACCATTTAATCTCTCAGACTAAGACTAGGCTCTTAGGTACTTTTTGGCAGTTCACTTTATATGGAGATCACAGTTATACGAAATGTACAGCGTGTGAACGAAGGCAGTATATAAATAAAAAAGCGCTGTATGACCCTGATGGGTTTAGCACTTAATAATAATAATAATAATAATAATAATAATAATAATGAATTATAACACTGAACGAGTAGTAGTATCTTCCACTATGTAGACGAAACGACTTCTCAGTGGATGTCATAACTGCATATGGTGTCTTATTCAAATATTGTTGGTATGTTTCACCATTGATATACACGAAGACAGGCACACTAGAACACTATATCTTGGATTGTTCAAAATCCCACACACATTAGCCTAATTCATGAGTCTTGACACATAGGTGCAAACCAATTCTACAATAAATATTAATTATATTGTTAATGATTTTTAATTATCTTGACGTTTTTTCCACATAGTGCGTCATTTAATAAATAAACGAAATTTTAATCATGAAGTGACTTTACAAGCCAAATATATCGCTATATACCACTGGAAATTAATAACCATTATGATCAGTAATTGTTTCTGTGCAGTACCCTGACAGTTTGAGATCCGGGTGCATAACGAATGGTCACAGGATGAGCTGCAGGTGCATAGAACACTCGCAGGATGAGCTGTGGGTGCACAGAATACCACTTGCAGGATGAGCTGTGGGTGCACAGAACACTCGCAGGATGAGCTGTGGGTGCACAGAGCACTCGCAGGATGAGCTGTGGGTGCACAGAACACCACTCGCAGGATGAGCTGTGGGTGCACAGGACACCACTCGCAGGATGAGCTGAGGGTGCACACACCACTCCCAGGATGAGCTGTGGGTGCATAGAACACGACTCGCAGGATGAGCTGAGGGTGTACACAACTCCACTCGCAGGATGAGCTGAGGGTGCACACAGCACCACTCGCAGGATGAGCTGTGGGTGCACAGGACACCACTCGCAGGATGAGCTGTGGGTGCATAGGACACTACTCGCAGAATGATCTGTGGGTGCACAGACCACTCGCAGGATGAGCTGTGGATGCACACACCACCACTCGCAGGTTGAGCTGTGGGTGCACACGACACCACTCGCAGAATGAGCTGTGGGTGCACAGGACACCACTCGCAGGATGAGCTGCGGGTGCACAGAACACTTGCAGGATGAACTGTGGATGCACACAACACCACTCGCAGGATGAGCTGTGGATGCACACAACACCACTCGCAGGATGAGCTGTGGGTGCACAGGACACCACTCGCAGAATGATTTGTGGGTGCAAAGAACACCTCTCGCAGGATGAGCTGTGAATGCACAGAACACCTCTCGCAGGATGAGCTGTGGGTGCACAGAGCACCACTCTCAGGATGAGCTGTTGGTGCACAGAACACAACTCGCAGGGTGAGCTGTGGGTGCACAGAACACAACTCGCAGGATGAGCTGTGGGTGCACAGAACACAACTCGCAGGATGAGCTGTGGGTGCACAGAACACAACTCGCAGGGTGAGCTGTGG